GGGGGGCGGTTTTCGCACTTTGGGGGTCTGTTGAACTCGGACCACCACCCCATAGCCCCCGTCGCGCGCGCGCGCCCCGGGGGAGCGCGTTCAATTTTTTCGCACGCGCGCGTGCGTGGCGCGTTTGAACGCGGGGCTGGGGTAATTGAACGCGCGTGTTTGAATATGAACGCGCATTCACGGCGTTCATACGGTTACACAGCGAATGGTTTTGATCAAGAATAAGGTAAGGCGCCTAAACTTGCCTCCAACCCTTTGACTCACATGATAGAGGATGGTTCTTCTTCGGCCCATCGTCCAGAACACCCTGAACCTGTCTTATGCACTGTCTCTTTGGACGACTCTCTTGACGAGTTTGGTAACGAGTTGCTGGCATTATGAAGGTCGTGAGCTAAGAAATCGAAGTCTAAGGGTGACCTACTACTCGCGGATGTAGAAATCGCACTTACACGCGTAGGTACTCTGTTGGACTCAAAATCCACGCGATCCTACATATCCGAGAAAGCAATCCGCAAGTTGCATCTCGGAATAAAGGTGAAAAACTTGTCTAGACCTATCACGTCTGTTTTGGCTGACAAAAACACGATCACTGTTTCGTAGTATGCTGATCGTGTGAAGTGACGATTTCGAACCAAGGGAAGATAATTCTTCACGAGATATCCTTCCTTGTAGAAAAGAACTTGCCATTTAACTTGATTCTGGGAATGGATTGGCACGAGGAAGTCAACCCAGACATTAAGTTCAAAGAAAAGATTGCGCAATTGCGTGACACACAATCTGATTTAAAACCAATCAAATTGTTTCATTAGTCTGATTCTGACTCTAGTCTGTATTTTTGTTGTATGAGTTATTCATCCTTTCGTTCAATGGTTTCAAAAGAAGAAGTTGGAACCGGAAGTAATGATGGTTTTAGTAAAAAGAGCAGGAGAGTCTTCTACTTCCTATCCCTCTTCGACTAAAAAACTCTGAAGCGAGTATAAAAACTTATTTACTGAACCAACAGGAATAACTGTGCGTGCTATAAAGCACACCATTGAAATTATTCATGATAGTAAGATTCCCAAGGACCCTATCTACCGAATGTCTGCCAAGGAACTTGAGAAACTGAGAAAACAACTGCAAGACTTCACAGAGAAAGGATGAATTCACCATAGCTCTTCTCCTTATGGTGCCCCTGTCCTATTTGTGCCCAAAAAGGAAGGTGAATTGCGTCTCTGTATTGATTATAGAGGGTTGAATGTCGTCACTGTTAAGAATGTTGAACCGCTTCCTTGATTATAGAGGGTTGCAGGTACTTCAGCAAGATCGACTTGAAATCTGGGTATCACGAGATCGAGGTAGAACCCTCCGATCAGCATAAGACCGTTTTCCGAACCAGGTATGACCACTATGAGTTCGTGGTAATGCCCTTTGGAAGTTTGGATTAACGAATGCCCCTGCCACTTTTCGGAGGTCAATGAATGACTTGTTTTGTCAATGGCTGGATAAGTTTGTTATTGTCTATCTTGATGATATTCTAGTGTATAGCAAAACACTAGAAGATCATGAGAAGCACCTTCGTTTGGTGCTAGAAAAGTTGCGAGAGGGCAACTTCAAGATCAATGCCAAGAAGTCTTAGTTTGGTAAGTCTGAAGTATTATACCTATGACATATAGTGAACGAAAAAGGTCTAAGGCTAGAAGAGAGAAAAATTTCAGCAATTAGAGATTAGCCTCAACCTAAGTCTATTACTGAACTGCAATCTTTTCATGGGGTAGCTAGTTATTATAGGGAGTTCGTCAGGAATTTTTCAATGATTGCAGCACCAATGCGAAGATTGTTAAAGAAAGAAACTATCTGGTTGTGGGATAAGGATTGTGAGTCTTCCTTTCGAAAACTGAAGTATGCATTGACTCACTACCCTGTTCTAAAAATTGTTGATCCATTTTTGCCTTTCATTGTCACTACTGATGCAAGTCCGTATGGAATTGGCGCAGTTCTCCAGCAGGATGACGACAAGGGCTACAGACCCATAGAGTTTATGTCTGCCCGACTGCCGTCGGAAAACGTTGTCAACTCCACCTTTGAAAGGAAGGTGTATGGATTAGTCTGTGCACTAAACACATAGAAACACTACTTATTAGGGAGACACTTTACTGTGTACTCAGAGCAGTCTACCCTGAAGTGGATAAAGACACAACCTAGGTTTTTTGATAAGCTAATACGATGGTCTGCGTTTATTGATGCCTTCAATTTTGAGTTAAAAACAATCAAAGGTAAGTCTAATGTGGTTACAGATGCATTGTGTAGACGAAGTGATTTCTTTGGTGCGATTGTCTCGTATTTGGATGTTTGGAATGATTTGAAAGATAAATTTCGGCAAGGATATGCTACTGACCCTATATGGAAGTCTATCATTGATGTCCTTGCAAAAGACCCAACTCTACTTCCCAACTACCGTGTAACCGATGACTGGCTTTTCTTCTTAGACCAGACTGAACAAAGATTGTGTATTCCTCACAACTTCACAAGGAAGACTCTGAGATTAAAAGTTTGTTCATTGGGGAATGTCACGATTCTGAGGGTCATTTTGGATTCAAGAAAACTTACGGAGAGGTTAGGGATCGCTTTGAATGGAAGAGAGTTAAGGAAGACGTACTAACTTACGTGCGTACCTGTCTGGTGTGTTAGAGAAACAAACCTTCACATGAGAATCCACTCGGTCTCTTGAAACCATTCCCAATTCCGAGTGAACCAGGTGAGTCCATCTCAGTTCATTTCATGAGCCTCACCAAGAGCCATAATGGTAATAGTCAAGTAATGGTTGTTGTGGATCATTTCTCTAAATAGGCCATGTTTATTCCCTTACCAGGCTTACCTGCTGAAGCAAGAACTGAACTTGTGATCCAAAAGTTTCAGATGCGATGGGTAACTGAATATGGGTTTCCCCTCTCCAATGAGTCTCCATTGTGTCTGATCGTGATGCAAGGTTCACAAGTATGCCATGGCAAAAGCTGATGTAAGCATACGGTACACGTTTGACCATGTCGTCAGGACGACATCCTGAAACGAACGGACAAAGTGAGCAGATGAACCGATTGTGCCAACAACTCTTGCGCATGTATGTGAGACCCGATCAGATTGATTAGGATGAGAACTTACCCAAAATAGTTTGTGCATATAACAACAGTGTTCACACGGCTACAGGTCGTACACCAAATGCACTGCGCAAGGGATGAAAACCTAGGTGTCCCATTGACGTGCTAACACGGGACCAATTCCTTAGGTTACCTCCAGGGACACAAGAGTATGTAGTCTTGTTTCAAGAAGACATAAAGAAGGTACAAGATAACTTAAAGAAAGCTCAGGACCAGATGATCAGACAACTTGAAGCGAATAAACATCGTCAACCATCTACCTTTAAGGAAGGTGATCTCGTCTGGGTAAAGTCCAAAATTTTTGCCTTAGAAGAAAATGTATCTCAAAAACTTTTGCCTGTCTACTTTGGAACCTGGGAAGTTCTCAAAGTAATTGGAGATGCAGGGGGACCGTCTTATCGAATTGATATTCCCCCTCATCTCAAAACACATCCTGTCTTTGACGCGTCCAAACTGATGCCCTATGTAGAAGGGAAAGAATTTCCTAGCAGACCCACTATGATTCCGCCATCTATGGACGACAGATATGAAGTAGACAAAATCATAGAGCATGGATATTTATCTACGGGATCACGTGGACGACCTCAGAAGCAGTTCAAGGTACGTTTCAAGTCTCAGGCACCATCTGAGGATAGATGGTTTAGTAGAAGAGAATTACTTGAAACTGCTCCTGATATTGCTGCTGCTTAAGAACGAGAGTTAAAGTCCTTAAATTTATGTGGCGGAACTCGAAAATGGGCCGGCAGGAATGCAGTAACCCTGTTGAGAAGTAGCCTGGGGCCTAGAACTCAGCCCCAGGCAACGCAGACCTGAGTCTGT